TGGCCTAGTCAAAGCAGAGAACCCATCACTAGACTTTTAACTGATTTTCTTTCTAAATAGACATACTTAAGAAAGAGTGACACAGTTTGAGTCTGATCAGCTTTTATTCCCTTGTAAATAGAATATCGATAAAAACACACCTTAAAAGTAACAAATCAACGCTTCGAACAGATGAAAAAGTAACAAAAGGCTTATGTAGATTTTCTACATAGCAAATACACAACAGTCTACTTGTCCAAAAAAGGCACTAAATCTTGAAATAGAAATGAACAAGAGAAAAAAAATAAAAAATGATCCAACATCCATCCAGTTGACGTTCAACATTTGTGTTACAGAGATTTATTAAAGAGCTTATTGCCGGAATGATGGGGCAGCCATCATTATTGAACTGTTGGAGAGGTGTTTGTTTTTAAAGTAGCGCTTCCAGTCCCTGGCTGACAGAACAAAGTAAATGGTGACCTTATGAGAGACACACAAAGCTGTTGCCACGGCGACACGGGTCGGACCGAAGCGGAAGAGCAAAGCTTCTGGGTTCTCCATTCATAATATCTCTGAGTGATTACATCACATGTTCCGGCACAAGAAGAGGTCATCAGAACCCAGAGAACCTAAATGGACAATAAGAGAGGAGACGGAGGCTGCAGGTATGAAACCAGGGGAGGGAGGGGTAGCTTATGTTAAATACTGGCAACTAAAGCGCTCATTTGTTTTAGTTTATGCAACAAAGCAATGCGCCCTGAATGAATGACTCCTGACAACAGGATACAGAATGAGGGGGGAAATGAAAAGATCTGATTTCAAACGGCTTCCTCCGATCCTTTTCATGCCTCTGGTTAGTAATAAATACAGTACATGTCCTATGATACTCTTGGTTTATAATAATTTCAAAATGGCAACACCACAACGATTAAAATCTACCGTGAAGGCAGCTAATAAAATGATTTAATAATCTCAGGGCAGCAGATTTTCCTAAACTAACCTACAGCTTCCTTTTACAAAGGTTTCTGCTAAGCAGATTTAAACAAAGAAAAAAAAAAAAAACTTTGGTGTAAATAATTTAAAAAGATGACTACATAACTGATAATGCAGCGGAAGCTTAAAGCAAAGACACGGGCAGCTCAGCTGCCACAAAAATAAAAAAAAATATTGCATCACCAAAACACTGACGATTTGGCTTCAAATCAACAAATTAGGAAGGATTTGAACATTTCATGACAAACACATTTGACTCATAAACTTCCCTTTATATTCAGCTTTAATATATATTGGATCTTGTTTGAGAAGCAGTTTCCCTAACAACATTTAGCTTTTTCATTTCTTATATTTCTTTAAAGAACTTCATCACAGTTTGCCGACAGCGAAGCTGTTCTGGGATCTCTTTGTTTTATTGACAGCCTGAAAACTGGAAGCAGCAGCAGAGGAACCTGGGAGGTGAAGTTTCTAACAGAAGAGGAGTAACTGAGGTATCTGTGTCGTGAACCAAGAAGCCAGTCTGTGCAGGACTTGCTGACCTGCTCTGCATGTACAGCCATTATAGAGCAGCACCTCATTTGCTTCCATTCAGATCTGACCTAGGGCTGGGCATTCATTGCATTTGCAATTTAATCGCAAATATAATAGCAAATTTAAAAAACCCCATTTTCAAATCGCAGAGCCGCAGATTTTTAAATAACACTATAATTAACAGGAGTAAAGACCGATTTATGCTTCTGATGCATAGTCTGTGCATCCGTCAAACTTGTCTCTGTGCGCGACCACGCCCTCCTCGCAGAGGCTCTTCAACCGTCGTTGCGCACCGCAAAAAAATCCTGACTACATGTCGGACGGTCGCAAACCTCAAGCGGAAGTGCGCAGACAAAAAGCAGCTGTGATTGGTCCTTGGTATGCCTTTCCGGCTGTCTGTGTGGTCGTCCTTCTCGATTCGGTGCTGGGGCGCGCCATTTTTAAAAACCGAGGAGTAATAACAACAATGGATAACTACGACGATAGGTTGATTGAGGAGATTCAGAAGTACAACCACTTGTATGATGCCTCAGTTGGTTGTTTTGGAAAATAAACACTCACGCCGGCTCCGTCGAAGAATTTCTCGTGACCACTCTCGCGAGTTCTCGAATAAGCTCCCCCTTGCGCTTTGGAGGGAAATGGCTGTGCGTCCCTAGAAATTCCAGACCGATGATGCAGAAGCATAATCCGCCCATACGCGTTGGACCCACGACCTCAAGCGGAAGTGTGCAGACAAAAAGCAGCTGTGATTGGTCCTTGGTAGGCATTTCCGGCTGTCTGCGTGGTCGTCCTTGATTTGATGCTGGGGCGCGCCATTTTTAAAAACTGAGGAACAATTACAATGGACAACTATGACGAAAGGTTGATCGAGGAGGTTCGCTCCGTTAACAGAAACTGTTCCTCTTTGATGTCTAGCAACTCTAGATCCATCTCTGTGACCATGATATCTTGCAGATGTGCCATTGTTGTTTTGGAAGATAAACGGTCCCGCCGGCGCCGGCGAAGTTCTCATGACCATCCGCCGAAGTTCTTGCGAGTTCTCCAATAGGCTCCCCCTTGTGCTTTGGCAGGAAACGGCTGTGCGTCCCTAGAAATTCCAGACCCGACGATGCAAAAGCATACCAGCAATACTGGTTTACGACCAGACCCAAACAACATTTGATGTGTGCAGCTGCAGAAGTATAATCTGCCCTCTTGTGGTCATTAAATAAATGTGTGACAAAAAGCTAATAAACATATTGGACTTCTATAATGGCTGTACAGTCAGGTTATTATGATGAATGTTTATTTTTCAGTTCCTTAAATAAAGATATTTAACCATCTAGTTTGATTGTTTTAATCATCTGCAGAAGAATAAACTAAGAAATAAAAACCAAGCTATTTTTTCCCTCCTCCTCCTCCTACGGCTGCTGCTCTGGCAGATCCCTCCAGGGTAGAACTAAAGGTTGGAACCAGCCGGGACTCTAAGCACCGTGGCTTTCAATAAAGTGTCACTCAAATCAAACAAAGTAAAACAAATACAATGTGTGGCAGTTTGTGTTTAAAACACGCGGCGCATCAAAATCACAGATATACTTTAAAAAAAAAAAAAAAAAAAAAGAGGATGGCATCGTTCACATGATTATTTGACACATCTAATGCGCCTTGGATTAGCATATAGAAACCATCCGTGACTTGAACTCACCTTTAAACAGAAACAAATAATAAACTCAATACTTTGGTTAATGTTCCACACACCGTTCACCAACAACACTCACTCAGGATGAGATTCCTCTCAATAGATGCTATAATGTTATAGACAGTATACCATGTGGGTGTGTGCACACTTACACCGTATATGTAGAGTCGTGGTAATAAAAAATAAAAAGTACAGACTGGGAAACCTTCAGACGGAAGGAGAGCATGCTTAGGCATTTTTTTTAAATTATTATTATGACCGAATATCTTCGTCACACTTTTCTGGACCTCTACAGATCTCACAGTGATCAATCGCTCCTGGATTCAGATTAATAAATAATAATAAACCAATCAAACCCAGCTCTGTTGCCATGGCTATATTATATACAAACATCTGTGGTTCTGGCTTCCTTTTAAATCCCAATAAAGACTAATACTGTGTTTCTTTTTTCATATCTACCCAATACGGCTGTTATAAACAGTAATACATATATAGCATTAAAATAATCTCTGCTCACCAAGCAGCTTGTAGTTTAAATTCCTATTTAGTTTTTGAAGGGCATTAAAAAATAAACAATAAAATAATAAAATAACCTTTAAATTTTAAAGATCGTCCGAACAAAAACAAAATATAAAAGATAAAGACCTGAACCTGAACTTATAAAACATGGTGTATTTTATTTTCAGTGCTAGAAAACAGACATTTTTTAGCCCTGGCTACATTTTATTCACTCCCCTTGAACAATTCCACATTTAACGGCCAAAACAGCCCCACAGGACAATACTGCCACCACCGTGTTTTAGTCTTTATTAGTGTGATCAGAGTGCAGTGTTTTGTAAGTGTTTGTGGCCTGATCTGACCAGATCATCTCCTTGTCAGAGGTTTACGATGCAAATGGATTCATAGCTGCTTTAAGCTTCTCTGTTTTTACTAATGAGGCGTCTTCCCAAGCCCAAAAGAGTTTTATATTCAGAGACTTTAACAGCTCTTGGGGGTTTAATTTGTTAGAAAAAAAACAAAAGTCCACCTTATAATTACGAACCATTCTGTGTTGGTGTGTTGCTCAAAACGCTGTTAAAAAAGTCGTAGGGAAGCAGCTGTTCCAACCGTTGCATTTCTGAATTCTCTGACTTTACACGAGTGAATAAAGTGAATGTGATTGGTCGTTTATCAAGGGGGTGGGATTGTTGTGGCAGAAGGTTTGCAAGCACGTTTGGTTGGCGGAAGCATCTTGCTAACCAGTTAGCAACTTAGTGCTAGTAGGTTCCCAATGGGAAATTCCATTGGGACCAAGTAGCACTAAATTGGTGACTTAGAAACGACACTGTCAAGGAACGCTATGGACAGAGGAAACATGCAAGAGGAGGAGAGTTTAGAGTTGGAGGTCGTGGATGAGTCTCCTCCATCATACTTTATTTATTTAGAGGAGGAAAGCCGGACGAAGATGTTGTGGAAGAGGACGCCAGGAGCTTGGTTTGGTGTAGAAGGCTTCCAGCCGTACATGTTTGAACCTTTGCCTCGCAACGCTGCCAGTTCTGTTAGCTCTACGCCTGCCGAAGACACAGACGTCCATCCCTGAGAACACTGGGACGGAACTCAATGGGAAAGGAAATTATTCTTATTTCAACCGCTGCGTATATTAGCTGCGACACATGAATCAAGCTCTGACCGAAAAAATTTGATTGACAGATGACCGTTGGTATATGATTGGCCGAATTTAGGTGTTCAGGCTGACGTATAACTAACTGGTCTGCATAAAACTCCCACAGATTTTAAGACAGGATTTTTTTTTAATAGAAGTTTTGTAACTTTTGGGACAATATCATCTGATAAAGAGTACATTTATATACATGTTTAAGCCAGAATGATTTGACATTTAAATATGACTTCCCTACGACTTTAAAAATGGAGGTTCTAAAGTTACAGAATGTGAAAAAGTTCAAGGGGAAAGGAAATGTTACTGACACAAAGAAACTAAGATGTTCTCTCTAATTTCATACCTATATTTTAGAGCCGTTTAGCGTTTATATATTAAGATTATTCTTAGACGAGATTATTCTATTTCTGCTTCTTTGAAGATTATGTTTTTATAGTCATCTTCAGCTCAAAGAAATTTAGCAACCTTAAGCTTATTCTGCGCCTTCACAGATTCTCCTGCCAGAAATCTGCCATGAAATGCGACGTCGACTCCTTAAAGGATTCAGGAAAAAGGAAAAAGAGAAAAGTTTGTATTTCCTAAACACTGAGGCTGTTCAGTTGAGATCACAGTGCGAGACCCTGAAAGCATTTGATTCCCAAGCCAAATACAGCGTAGCCCTGCTGAGAACGCTGCAGTCTGCTACGGAAACCTGCACAAAGCTTCATGTCCTGTTTGAAAGCCATCTGTGGAAGATTTAAATAGAAAAAAAAATCCTCAAAGAAATGGTCTGGGACCGCCCCCTGCTGTTTCCCTGGGAGTGGCACAGCAGAAAGATCCGAGTAGTGAGCTTTCTTCTAGGGTTCGGCTTAAGTTGTGAGATTTGAATCTTCCACAGACCAGAGACGACTTAACGTAGAAAGGTTTGTCATTAATCATCATATTACACTATTAACAGCTATACGAGTGTAGCAGAGTAGGTTGGTGGTTGGAGGTAGGGTTGGGAGGTATCTCAGGATTGGAGTTTACACGTTTGGTCTTTCTGTTCACTTATAACATTCCTAGAAAATCTGCTTGCATATAATGACACCTGTTCTGACGGCTCCAGCGTCCGCCGGCCCCGTCAGTCATGATCCATGCTTTCCATCTTGATCTGATTCCCCGCGATGCATCCTGCTCCATCCCCCTGATTGGCTGAGGCTGGGCTGTTGCGACCGGCTGCCGTCTTCTCTGACGTGAGCGGCTCCTGGGGGTCAGATTCTTCCTGGAGGGACGGGGACGTGGGGGACCAGGATGCGCCCGTCGTTCTGGATCCTTCTGCCTGAGAGCTGGACCCCGACACCAGGGAGCGTCCGATCAGGGAGGCGCCCCTCTGCCCGGAAGCGGCTCCTCTGGCCAGGGCAGAAAACCAGCTGGGGAGCTGCGGAGGAACCTGAGCAAAGGGGAGGAAATAGGAAAACTGTTAGCTTCTGTAGAGAGAAGCAGAGACAGTTACCTGGGTTATATACCTGGGTTGGAGAGGACAGGTCTGCTCGACTGAAAGGAAACGGCCTGGCTGAAGCTCTCTTTTCAAACAGGGAAACATCACAGCCCTGAAACAAGCAATGAGTTTATCTTTAGAGCAGACAGGCGGTACCGTGGATTTGAAGTTACTGTGAGGAAAACAAGTATTTGATCATCCTGCTATTTTGCAAGTTCTCATAAATTGTGATTTCAGGATTTTTTTTAGATCATGTCTCTCACAGTGGACATGAACCTACGAAGACAATTTCAGACCCATGATTTCTAAGTGGGAGAAGCTGCAAATTAGCAGGGTGTTCAAATACTTATCTTCCTCACAGTAGGTCGCGGTCCAGATCCGGCTCACCTGATCGGGGAAGTCGTTGCCGTCTACCTCGTCGCCGTTGGACTGACCTCCTGGACTCTCAACCTCGATACCATGGCTCTCCAAGATGGCTGCTTCTTCAAAAACACAAACCTTATCATAGCATATCGAAGTTGGAAAAGCAAGAGCTGATGGACTAGTCCCAATAACATCAATAAGCTTTTTGAATCTAAGACGAACATGAATTACTGCAGCATTTTAGTTACGTTACACCTAATACAGATCCATAGAACTATTACTGTCACCTTAAATGATGATTTCCAGCTCTGACTTGAGTCATTTTCCACCCAGGTTAGCCAATTTCCAAACTTTCCACTTTACTAACGACACGTTTTGGATAGATCCCTGCTTTCCTAACATAGAGAAGCTTATCAAAGATAACAGAAACAATTTGTTTCATTTTATAGCTTAGTTTTACATTTTGAAGGGATCATGATGAAAAATGATGAATGTCTGATGATAAATTCCTCTCGACACGGATTATTGCTTCCCTGCATTAGATTTGGCGCCGTTTTATCACCCTAAATTAATAACGCCCAAACCACTGAACAGGAAGCCTAAATTAGATCTAAACCAAATTTAAAACCGGGTTGTTTTAAGGTATCAAGCTCTCCAGCTTATGCTCGGGAAAAGAAAAAGGTTATGAGAAGCGATATAACGGATAAACATGAATTCAAAGATCTTTCTTGGGGGTTTAATTTGTGTGATGAAGTGAAAATAACGTGAACAGCTGCAAATGTCGTCTAACCTCATGTAAGGAAGTCTAACAGAAGCAGAAGCATCACTGAAGTAAACATTACCTATGTTGGCGCGCCTCTTGATGTCTTTGCGGCGGTTGGCAAACCAGTTGTAGACCTTGAGGGACGTCACTCTCTCCAAATCAGATAGCTTCTTTCCTGCAAAATGCAGACAAGATCTGTGAGCTGCTTCCTGCCAGCCTCTGTGTCTCCATGGTTACCGTGCAAAGGGTGGCACTGTTGTTTCGAGGTAATAAAAGGATAAAAGAGTGAAAATGAATGAATAATACCTGGTTTTTGAATGACAGCGTTGCAGGCAGTAGCGATCTCCTCCCTCTTGGCTTCATCGGGGTACTGGTTATCACTGAAGTAGCTGTAAACACAGGGATCATTGTAGCCATATCCTCTGGATTTACAGGCCTTGAAGTATGTTGTCATATCATAGGTCCCATGTCTGACCAGCACCACATCAGAGAACATTAAAGCTGCAGAACTGAACTGCTTAATCTCTGATGTTCCTCACCTCTCCATGACAGCCAGACACTCCTTCCTCCAGGTGAACCTGCTGCCTCGTCTCAGGCGGAAGCCTCCCGGGGCGGAGTTAAATGGGGGCGGAGTTTGATGCCAGTCCATCACGTCCTCCAGAGCCAGAGGGGCGGCTCTCATCGCTAAGGTGGCACCTGTTGGTTGGGGTTCAGACGTTCAACATGTACCTAAACATGTCGCATGGTTTTCATTCGCTGACCATTACCAGGGTTGTTCTTCTCCAGCTGGTACCAGCGGAAGAAGGCCCGTTTCTTCTGCTCGCTCAGGTCCGATCCCTGCTGCAGGAGCCAGTGGGAGATCCGACTCTGACTGATCCCTGGAGGAGGAGCGGCTTGTGTCACTAAATGAGTGTTTTCAGGGTTTATTTTGCTCCTTCAGGGCAGTACTCACCTGTTACCTGAGCGACTACAGCCTGGGAAATCCGTCTGTTCGCCAGGAAGGACTTGATCTCCTCTTTGATGGCGCTGCTGTCCCTCCTACAATACACAGCCACAAAGTAGGAAACTAAATCTACGACATCAGAGGAGAACATTAGTTCACACTTACAGCTGCAATGGTCGTAAAATATGAACAAAATGGATGAAGGTGGGAGGAAAGCTAAGGGGCGTAATTTCATTTTCTTTTCCACTACTTTGGTTTCATGTTCTCACATTTTCAGATCAATACTCCTGAGATGGCAGCAGTCTGCCTGCAGACTACATATGAGACACATTAGAGTCCATGTGTGTTCGTTTGCATCCGGCTTCAGACGGAGCTGCAGGTAATCTGGGCCGTGTGGATTCTTTAGACCCGCCATCTTTCTCAGGCTGCATCTAAACAGTTTCTACAGTCTTAATCTCATCTTACCTCATCAAGAACTCCACTTTATCGTCCAGATCCAAGTCTTCTTCACTGGCCTCGAACCCAAAGCCTGGTGCAGCCACACTGCCACCAACCACAGCCAGAGGATACCGAGGCGGAGAAAGCTTCCCGTTGGTGGCGCCGGAGAGGCCATTCTGGACGACAACGGGCGAAGCTGTGGGGACGGGCAGAGGCGGGGAGACGGTGTCCAGGTTGGTGCCGGGAGACAGCGAGAGTGGGTTTTGTGGGAAAACCGTCTGAGTGGAGGCGGAGGTGGTGGAGGAAGAGGCAGAGACGGAGTTGGAGGAAGACAAGGAAGAAGTGGGCGGCAGGTAGGAAGCTTTACGGCTCTGCTTGTGGCCATTCTGGCGGTCCAGGTGATCGAGGGTGTCCAGGGCGTGGAGGACCTCCACCTGAGTGATACCGGTTCGTCGAAGCCTCTGGAGGAGATCGATCTGTTCAATGGTGAAACGAGGCTCCTCACTCTGCTGGAACATCCTGGAATTGATAAAGAAACGATCAAAAGCAGAACAGAAATTTAGATCGGCCTCTAAAGTACTGCTGGAACTAGCTGAGCTTGTTAGCTTCTAGTAAGCTCACATCAGTTACCTATGAAGGAAACCCAGACTACTCAACCTCCAACCAATTAACCAATCAAATCTAGACAACATCAACATTCAGTTGTCTATAGTAGTCAACCGATAAATACAAGAGCAGCAGCATCTGAAGTAGGACTGAAACAATAGGATTCCTCATGATTAATCCATTATTGAAATAATCAGCAACTAATTTAGTAACAGATTAATCTTTACCTGGAGTATAGAGACTGTAAAACATGCCTTTACTGACAGAGCGACACACTTAGAGCAGGAATTATACCAAAATTGTAAAATGATATATAAACATTTTGTATTTGAGGTTTTAAAAAAACTTTTACGTCTGTCAATATCCTCTATCAAGAACTCCTCGGGTAGAAAAGTTTTAGTTACACCTGGTTTGATTTCGTTAAAAATATTTTTTAAGGAATCTGATTACTAATCGATTAACCACCATGATTAATCGATTTGTAAAATAATTGTTAAGTGCAGCCCTAGTCTGAACCTTTTTAACCATCAAGATCAAAACTGTGACGCCAAAATGCTTTGGAGGCTAAAATTATTATTTTTCATTGTTTATTATCACCTGATTAACAATAAAGTAAACGCATAAGTAGTGACATCTTTTTCATCAGGAAACAGAACAAAAGAATAACAAACATAAAATCAAACAACTACGGAAAGAGAGCATCGTTTAAATGCTGGGTTTTTCATTTCAGCGCTGTGTGTCCCGAGCCTGTAACATCATCAATGGCCCCTCACCCCCCCACCATGGACTG